AAGAAATATGAAAAAAGAAAAAACTTGAGTATTGGGATTCGAACCCATGACCATAAAATCGAAAAAAGGTTGGGACGATTCCCCCGAGACATTCTGTGAAGCTGAGGCGGCGAATCGATTTACATTCCGGTTAGAGATTTCGGCTCTTCCATGCTATCCCGATAATTGGTCCTAACTTCGCGCTAACTAAAAAGCCAGTGAGGGAGAAGCTATCCGGCCCCTAGACACTGATGGATAACCCCTTGCACTAACTAGGCAACTATCGAAAGTATAATGTCAAATTGGGGTAGTCTATTCGGTGAAAGTGTCAAGTGGTCTATTATTATGCAAATGAGAGTGATCCAGTGGCGCACCGCGTTAAGGCGCCGCTTGCAAATCCAAATGTAGGTTTGACGGTAACGGGATCGATTCCCTGGAGGAGACGTTTAATGATTTTGTTTTTTCCTTTTTATTTTATTTATTGTTTATCTTTTATTTATTTATTTATTTATTTTTGCATAATTATTGTCATCTCTTGTGTTTCACTTTCCCGAGAACCGTCTTTTTTTTACGAAGTGGATACATGATCGGCTCCCGCTCAAAGTCTTCAATGTACTAACATACTAAATGAGTGCTAGTTTTGTTTTGGCAAAAAAATGTTTTATATCTTTGTTAGCAATCTAAAAAAAAGATGTCAATCAGTCATATTATAACGTTCTATTTCGAGCAGCTTTAGCTTCTTGTCGCACTTAGCGTGACGAAGGCTCCCGCTCAATTAAGGTCNATCTGGTTTCCAGGCTCCTTCATAAAAGACTTGTGGACGAGGTGCTACCAGGAGGTGCTACCATGCGCTATTCTCTTCCGGGGCAACACTTCATTTCGCCCTTCTGGGATCCCTATGGTATCTTATTGGCCGAGGACCTCTTCCATTCTTTAGTGGCTGGGTGAAATGGGGGGGCCCCCGTGAAAGCTTTTGGCCATGAGAGAATCAAGACTCTCCCACAATGGCTTTGTCCTAGTTAGTATCGGAATTTTATTGCCTGATTTTATACCGAGTAAGACTGGGTACAGGTCCCTTAATTTGCATGATGGCTCAGAAATACGACCTATATAGACGAAAGAATTTATTGATAAAATAGTAAATACTGACTGTCTGAACTTGGTGTCGATCAGATCCGAATAATAAACGATTTACAGGCTTTAATGCTAGAATTCCMGAAGAAACTAAATGTATAGAATGCTCTACGTTTCTTTGTATCTGGAGTTTTTGAAAAGCTGTCAATCGTCCACATTGTGATGGACACCAAGGGACTTGTTCCCAGTTTCGTACGGTGTGAAATGCTAAGCGAATTTTCAAGCAATCGMCTAGTAAGCTAGTAATCTTCATCGCATGCGGACTGACCGGACTGGCCGATCCCAGCTTATTCTAAATGGTTTCAATTGAAGTATGCATTCGATGTTCGAGTATCATATCTTGTTGCCTCAGATTTCTTTCTTTGTTGTAATGAAAAATTACTTATTGTGATTGCTTTTAGTGACCCATATAAGTCAGGCTTACATATTGTGAAAGAATCTATTTGATTTTTAGTCTTCCTTTTGAAGGAGGGGGGWGTGGGGAGGGTGTAGGAACGTTTATTAATGGACTTAGATAATTACGCAATAACAAATTAGTATAGGAAAGCTCTGATGTTTTGYTGGATATCAAACTGATATACTCCTTGCCTGGCATGCTCCTGCACATGTATTTTATTTACTCCATCATGACGTCTGATAACGTGCTGTGATATACCCCAAGCAATGAAGATAAACATCACTATTATAGCACCTCATTTACTCCTAACACTGGATTTACCCCCCTCAGAACATTAACACCTCCTTCATTATCGCTTGTTTCATCATCAGGTATCAGGAGATGGTAGAGGCTGATTCAAARCAGAGAAATAATCAGAAGATACATTTACATCAAGAAGAAGAAGCTCTACTTTCGATTTTGTGCCCTGAAGCCAGAATTAGAGAAACTCTGATCGGCAGCTATGAATTGCATTTCATGTACTAATTTCTAAAACAAGGAAAATTTAATGCGCTGGCATTTTATGCTAAATATTTTTTAGCACTCCTGGCTTTCCTGGTACACTACTGCCAGGAAACCAGGAAACTAGCTCTGTAACAACAAGCCAAGTGTTATTGCTGGTATTATATCTTATGAAAGCCGGAAAATCGGATTATTTCAAAGCGAAAAAAACCTGTTTCCTTGTATAATCGGACTAAGCAGATGATTTTTATAGGATTTGATACTTTGCTCTCAAAAGCGCAGATTATATTCTTGAAAATAAGTAAATTGGAAAATAAATTGTTTGACAAAAAACAAACTATAGTATGATATTAATAATCTATTTGGGAAAACATTTGTGAACCATTGAGCTGAGCAAGAACATTTGACGAAATTAGCTCGTGTAGTGTGCATATATCAGCATTACAGATGTACAGAAACAGCAATTACATTATCTATTGCATAGCCATGTTACAGATGTGATCAACATGCATACTTAGGCGGTCCGGGCGGGCGGTATTTTTACCCCCTCGAATAATTAGCACCTACGAAAGCTAGTCAAGTTTTGTTTGCACATACTACAGAACAATGACAGGTCTGTTGAGTGTTGTTAGTGGCTCATGACTAACTAATGACTAGTCCTGCAACTAAAAGCCAGACAKCACTGGAAAAAATCGCGCGCTTTAAAGGTTGTAAATTTGATTTAATATGATGTAAGTGTCCAAAATTCTCTTAATTTGATGTAAATGATTTCCATTAAATTTACAGAATTTTGGACACTTACATGATATTTACATCAAATTTACAACCTTTAAAGCGCGCGATTTTTCCAGACAGCGCGTCACCAGTAATCTGTTCTTTTTTTTCTTCGCTTTTTCCTGATCTTCGAGCCATACTTTGCGCTATAATATGCCATATCATAAGCTGCTGCGAAAAGTTGATTATAAACATGATATTAGGCACGCAGTTTGATGTACCAAAAAGCTTTTAAGTTTTATTGACAAAGRCACAAAGAGACCCTCTCTCAGCATGTATGGTAGCCTTGGTTACCCTATCACACCGGGTGTTCTCCTTATTGTTGCATAATTGGTCCAAATTGCCCCAGTTTTCTCCATTAAGTAAAACTAAAGAGAAACGCGACGTATGGCTATTGATTCAGCGTCGACGCACTCTATTCATTTCACTCTCCATACCATAGTTAGTAGTTAGTACTAGGTATGTCCATACATGCTTTTTCAGATGGATTAATTACCATGTCTTCACATTCATTTCCATTTAATATTTCCAGTTAGATATTTCTTAACCTGAATTTCAAAAGAGCGGAATACTGAACATTTATTCAAACAATTTTATGATAACTTTGTTTTAGTCCCGCGCATATCATCCTTCAGAAACGCCTTTCGWCCCTCCCTTAAACTAATTAGAGGTATATTATAGGCAGATGTATATGTCAGTGTGTCAGAGAGATGTTCAACCAGGGTTGTATAGTCTTCCGGGTGAACCAGCAATAAATCACTGTCCCTTATTTAATATGATTAATGGATGATCAGATGTAACTCAAACAGACAAGTTAATGTCCAGGTCTAGTCGTCGTGTCGAAAGGTGTGTGTATAGTTGATATGGATGAACAAAATAATGAATGGATGAAAAAATGAATGAACGGAATCATTGGGAACCGAAAAGCTAAGTGCATCAGTTGTCTGGTGAAATTTCAGTATGATTCTCATGTAAGAACCCGTTAATACAGGTCGATATAAGTGCCGATCACTTTTCTCAAAGTTGAATTACTTTTGGTTCTAACAAACAACTTTAGTTTTCAAGTGCTCTTTGTTCTGATAATACCAGAATCCACTCTTAAACAACGGAGGTTTCAATGGATGATCCTTGAGATAAGAAGCCATTTTACTCCACTCTTACCACTTACTTTCCCTATTGGAAGATTGCGTAACAAACATTCTCTTTTGTTGGTGTGTATTAGAAGCATGACGAGTGTTCTAATTATACCGGTACCTTGTAGTTAATACTGGGACATATAGGCAGTGTGAAATAGTGTTCGTCAGAAAATGCATGTGAAGAATATGAAGCATGTCGTTTATACATATAAACCAGTRCAAAAAGTAAAGTTTTCTCTGTAAAAGGGGTGGTTTAATGTTGCTAATGCTAATGACATTGTGTACAATTACTTAGATCTGTTGAATGGTTCATTATGATTTTTATTTGTTTTGTAAATGAAGGGATTTTTAGCAGAAGAACATGTGTAAACTGTCAACACAAGAAAAAGCATGAAAAGTTTCATGATCAGTGTGTAAACCGAYTGTACTTGTGGRTATTGAAGTAAGTCATGTCAAACTCTCAGTCTCAGWAAGTATTGATATTTCATCCTCAAAATTCCCTTGTTTGTCTGAAACACTTTAAAACTAAATGTTTCAGCATGTTTTTCGAAAATTAAATTTCTCCTATATCGAATTTAAAAGGGATATATATGAAATATATATGTACAATTATACAGTATAYGGCACTCACATTATTCATTGAACCCCACCCTCGTGTGATAAAAGTTCCCACGAGTAAAAATAGTATTTAAAARGTACAATGATTAATGACCAGAGTCAAAGTACGAAATACCTTGACACAACCAGTCAAATACACACGACCCTAAAATATAACACAGTACAGGAAAGGCATGCTATTAATAGCYTTATAATATCTACTGATGACGACATTCCGGTCTCTCTTAACACAAATTGCGGTACTTTGTTGTAATGATTGGGAACCCGTAATTCTCTTATTGGGATGGTCAGGGAAGCCACAGCATTTTTACCTCGAATAATCGCATCAAAACTCTAAGCATCTCAATTATACGCCGCGTGTATTGACAACACGAACCAATTACAGTGTTATAATCGGAATTTGTACATAAAACTTGCACATTACCATTCTTTTTGTGACTTTYTKTTCGTAATKTTAATAATTTCCAAGTTTTTGCATATACTGCGAATAATTTCTGATATCTCGTATACAACACTAGCAATTGCTTACTGTTTAGACTCGGCATGCAGTCATTGTGAAATGCAAGAAAATCTAGCATCTAAAGATGTAAATAGTCCAATAGATATATAACGAATATAATGCGTTTTGCAACTATCCAGTTGTACTAGTCTCATGATGCGTATTTCATAGGGTTCTTTTTAGATTTTCAGTATTGAAGATACCAGTCTGTTATTTACAATAAAGGCTAGGCTATAACAATAATAATTACTACCTAGATGTCTTCAATAGGCTGGTCGGTTTAGACTTCCGCGCCACACCTCACAGATGGCATCGACTATCTTTGTCAGCCAAGCGCTTCCAAAAAATGCTTTTACGTAAAGAAACCTCCTTGCTGTGACAGGCGGTTCAAAGAAGACATTTGGTGCAAGGTACATTTGCAAAACAAGCCCTGAATGGACTCGTGAATAAATAAAACAGTTCTATTCAACCGCCAAACTCCCAACTTTATGCCCTAGAAAAGAACAGAGTAAAAAAATAGTTTTCTCTGAAAGACAGCTTAGGAAGGGCGTCATTTGGATGGACAATGTCTTGGATTAATTAGAAGATCTTTACAATAAAAGGTTTAACGAATCAAAGGATAAACTAGTATCAATGACAATATACCTCAGATAAATCTGTAAGTTTATTAAAAGCACTAATTATTTCATTTCCTTTTTGTGAACTCTTTAGATATTTCTGTGCGGTAATTGTAGGTTTTTTTTCTTTACAAAAAGGGTAGTTTGATCTTGTCATTGTCCTAACGAGCCTTGGGTTGATGGCGTTGACAGTACGGTTCAAGTCAACTTCACAGTTGTCAACTACTGTTTCTGTCAGGCTTATTGAATTACTGTTGCCGCTTCAAGTCCTGATTGGCTGCATATAATGGGTAAATACTTTAATTAATTAGTCATCAGCTTCGCACTAGAAGGATAATTTAATTGACGCGCCTCATCTTCGAGTTGGTTTGGCCGATACATAAAGCCTAGCGAGAAGAACGGTCACCCACATTACCAGTCGTTTTGGGAACGGACAGCSTGAACGTGTACCCATGCCGTGCGACCTTAACCTAACTTCTCACGACTTGTTAAACAACATGCATTCATGACAACAACACTTTTAAACGAAAATATGGAAAAACTCACGTCAAAGAGTGATCCATGTGTGGCTAACGGCACAGTAGGATCTCAGGAAAAGCAGCAGGAAGATTGCAACAGAACTCAAAACAAGGTTCTATCCTTCTCGATTGAAGCCATACTTAGCTCTCCACATCCCAASCGGCCATCCAGAAACAATGTTCAGAATAAACATATACAAGAGAACCCTCCAAGACCGGATCAAACTACGACTGCACTCAACACTTTAGTAGAGTTTACCAGTACGACCCTCAAAGATGCGAGTGTTGAGCGATGCAAGAAACAGAGAGAAAGTAAGTACATATGTTCTTTGAGAGAATCCAGGAAATCTTTGAAAAGTTTTCTTCAGTCTCTGAATCCATTTGCAAACAGTTTGCAAGGGGTTGTACACTGTGTGTATAAGTGAGTTGTCAAACCGTTGTGGGTCCTTTGTTCTTGTTAAGCTAACAGACCTGACCTCGTTCGAAAAGTTGTGAAAGCCTGGCCACTTTAGACAATTCAATTCGTGAGTCTTAGACAAAGAAGAAAACAAACTTTCTGAGTCTTTTTGCATTTGAATTACGAGTTTCTTCTTCAAACATCAAGCWAAAAGCCACGAGTGTAAATTASCCTGTTTGTTAGTTCATCTCTGTGCCTTTTATTCATTTTGAGAAACTTCTAATAGATATTTCATTCCCCCCATAAGATCCTGTTCACGTATTTACCACTTCAAAAAGGTGCTGATTTTTGCGCTCTTTTATGTATTTTAGCAACTTTGACACTGGAGCAGAAGTTGGCCGCACTTCAAGCGCGTCTTAATCAAAGAAAACGCCGAAAACCAAGGACATGTTTTACAAACCAACAAATTGCTGAACTCGAACGAAGGTTTGTCTACCAGAAATATCTCTCTCCATCTGACAGAGACGAGCTCTCGCTAAGGCTCGGCCTTTCCGGAGCGCAAATAATAACTTGGTTTCAAAATAGAAGAGCGAGATTTCGAAGAGATGTGGAAGAACTTAAAAGTGATGTTGAGGCATCGAGTATTATGGAACCAAAAGAAATTCAAAAGATGTGTAAGAGCTTAGAAATTTAACATCKATTTCTTGGTGGTGAACGTTTGTTGTATCATAGAAAACTCCCGCAATTATCGGACTGAAACAGAYTCAAGAAAACATTCTTCGACTTGGAGGTATTCAAAGTCTCTCTTTCTCGTTCATATTGTGAATTCATAACAATGGGGCCATTATTGRTCCTTACGAACAATTATTTAGAACTTAAAGCAACTCTATTTAAATCTTGCTTGCGAAGCATGATAATTGTACATTGTTTTCATGTTGTATCCACGATCGTTCAAGTTTTACTTATTTGTACATACTTTCTAAAATGAACAAAGAAATATGTTTCATTTTATCGCGCATTCAGTCTTGTATAAACGATTTTGTGTTGAATACTGACTGGTTRAGGCCAGGATAGGCCTCATACTGATTTTAAATTGAATTAGAGATAATGTTGTGTCAAACTAATCGTAAATCTTCCAATGTTGCCCTGTATTAAATTATCTTACACGAAAACATGGTGTGAAGAAGATTGTGTTCTTAAACCTATTGTTAAGAAACGATTGTGTTTGATTTATGATTAGGTAGCTCTTTTGTTAATTAAGTATGTAGCTTTATTAGCAACCGCTTGTGCCACAATTATCCTTCACAGAGTCAAMTGKAACTCGTGCTAAAGACAGTTGAAAATGACTTTCAAAGTTCTTAATCTCAAAGAAAACKTTATCAAAAACACTGATATATAGAAATTTAGTTTCTCTATTTATTGCGAAAAGAACGTTTACTAATAAAATAGCCTAAAAATTTAGACTTAGTYATTTAAATTAGAGAAAAGTGCAGTTTAATGGATTGACATTTCAACAGGCTAGTCAACTCCTGTCCTGTTCAAATGGAGATCTTATTAATCTTTTTCCTGTTATTCTAAAACAAAGGAAATCTTTTGCTCGTTTAAAGTATTAATTACTGGCTGCTAAATTGTATTGAAAGCGTTCTTTCACGGGTTTGCTAAGGTTATAAAGMCAGGAAACCGTGAACACTGTGTTTCTTGTTCAAACTCAAMATCAMAACCTATCAAAAATGATGGATCAACTGCGAAGCCCAATGGTGTGAAACGATTTTTTGACGTCAAAAAGCTTTTCAATTAATGGAAATCTGTTTCTTTAAGACCAACAAGCAGATAAGTCTATTAAATACCGYAAGAACAGCGTACAGAGCTTAGTCTTTACACAAGTCAACTAATTCTTAACATTTTCCAAGTCGAAAAGGTCAGTCAAGATACTACTGAAAGTCATRAAAAATAACTAATAAAAATACCAGGAAAATCATATGGGCAAATACTTGTTTTCTAAAAGTCTTAATATGTGCAGCTTCACCTTCAAATAATCCAGGTTTTAGTTCGCAACAAACTTCATCTCATGTTGCGGGACAACTGACTGGAACTGCGGAACAGGCAGCTACATTTCTTCTCGGGACAGCCATATTTCAAGAGCGCTACTTCGTCAGAGATTCTTGTATCCTGAGATAAATCTTTTTGAAAACAACACATGACGCTTTTCWTWGAYCATTTCTGTGGTCTTTTACTGTGATAAAAGTAGCGTGTGTTAGAATAAGATCGCTTTCCTTGCGACAACCATAAATCAAGAGCAATGGCAGTGCGCAAGATGGCACTGAGGGAATGTGATACCGAGGYGAAGCGAACTCGAGCTTCATCTGTCCAACGGGTCTCCAAGAATGATTTATGGTTAAAGGAAACATGCCCTTCCTAACTCAACAATGTAAAAGTATATTGCTTAACATTTTGACATGGAAAGTCGAAACAAGAAAGGTTAAACGGTGGACATAGGTATGTGTCGATGCTCTTCGTGGCGGGTTTCTCTCAGTGGATACCCTTACAGAAACTTCTTACTTACGTTATGTGCCCAAAATCGCTAACCCGAACTTAACCTGTTTTAACCTTATTGATTTTTGAGAAACAAGTTCGTTAACCTCACAGCAGTACGTGAGTTTTTTCGCTTTATTTTCTCAGTATTCAATTGTGTGATATAACATCTTTAATCGCGCGCATTCAGTGGATAATGTCACATTATTGAACACTAACTTCCCTAGATTATTTCAGTTAAATCTTAATCGTGCGCAATCATATGTAGTGGTTGATAAAGTTTTCTTACAGGTAGTTAGTATCCCGTGGTCATATAGTTATAAAGCAAGAAAGATTTTTATCATTCCTAGCATTAGTACTTTAATCTATAGCCCCAAGCAGCAGACCTACGATTCGATCACGTTATATCCCTCCTAACATCAATAATAGTTTAAGAATACATCTAAAAGTAGTTTTCTTAAATGGAATTGTGTTTATTTATTGGTACACATAACTGGTGGTCCTCTTTAAAAACATCTCTATTTATTAAACATGCATTACATGCTGAGAAGTTTAAAATCATTCGAAACAATCCCGGCTTCAMTCGGTAGTTATACCAACAACGGAGCGCAAAATGTTGTTGATCCACGTGCATATTGTAATTATGATCGATTTTAACTTGTTTTAGATACTGTATCCAAAAAAAACGTTCAGCCATTCTACATATTTCAACGATATATAACATTCTTCTAATGTCTGCATGCAAATAATGCAGTCGGTCACAAGGAAAAACAAAACMAAACTGACACTGAATARYGGTGCGGATTTAGAAATGTAGCTGCAAAAAGTTATTTCTCGATTTATTAAACATTTCAGACTTCAAGGACATGTTTTCATTTCAGATTTCAAGAAGTGTATTTCATTATTAGTAGTCATGTCCCTTGCGGTTTATAGAGCACGAGTACCGAGTAGTCTAAAGAYTAGTCCAGTCCCTTATTGTGTGCGACAATAACTGAACTCCTCATTATTAGCCATTATTAATTTTCTATGTTCCTATATCATCTTAACACAAAGTTTTCAGGTTTTACTATTTCAAAAAGCTTTTGTTATTGGATTATTATTGTTGRTYCCAATAGCGGATTAAAAAACAAAAGGCAGACATCAAGCTTTCTAACCACAGACCATTGTTGGGTTGGATTCCAGTTTTGAAAATAACTTGAACGTCAAATTCTTGGGTCTAGGCTAATCCAGGTTAACAAGACAAAAATGCTACTATGTCACATAGTGTTCAMTTGAATTAACTCTAAATGTAATCAAAGCACGATGAAGCCCTCATATTGAAACACTACTTTCTTTCATAGAACTTGATAGAGAGACTCCATGGATGGATTGATGGAGCTAAATAAATGAAAAATGAAAAAAGGAATAATTACGGAATGAACACAGTCTATTGAATATATTTGAAAGTTTGAAACGCATCAGCAATATAGTGAACATAGGCATCTCATCAAACTAGTTTTGTGATGTCACAACATTTGTGATTTCATTTAGTTTTTTGGCCATGAACTTGTCTCGTCATTTGCTCTGCTAAGTACTTTTTTTCAAGCTAAAGGATTACAGTACTGATGTGAAAGAATTCCAAGGGCGTCGTCGTAACCATATTTAATTAAGGCGGGTCCTACAGTCGAGGCGCCACATTAGCACTTCAATCAATAACAACAGCTTTCATCGACAGAAAACAACTTCAAAGAAGAAACAACCAGAAATAACATGTAAAGAGATAACCYATACTAATCCTTTCTCTTGAAGTTCATTGCCTCCAAACCGCGCCATAGATATCCTCAACTAAGACTCAGTTCAAAGAATATGTGAAATGAGAATATTATAAGCTTCTTTTCCCATAGCTTCTATTAACTATGCTTTTCYATAGCATTGAGCTTGAAAAGATTTTTCGAATTCATTCGTGCATTAATRAGTTTAAATGGACACTGAGCCCCACTCCATCGAATTAAACACCTTTCAAGGCAATTAGTGACGTTGTGCGCCAACCACATTTTGTACTTCTGGCCAAGTTATCTTTTTACAGCCCGTGGCCAATGGTAATTTGAAAACTGGCAACATTCCAACAAAGACTGACTCCGTATCTAGAGTTCCGCCCATATTTCTCCTTAGTCCCAACCGTTGTGAATCTGTTAATAAATTAAGTCTCTTTATACCTTATCCAAGGAATACATGGGTTAATATTCTGCAAAACGTACTTTAATTCCTTCTTGAATTAAGAGTTCCTTATTCATTTTTATGACCACTAAGAAATAAGACAAACCAGCACAATAAGTACTCTTGAATTGGTCAGCTAGTTAAATTACAAATCCTGATAGTATTATCTTAGGATTAACGGATATTCATTGAGGTACTTCAAGGTCACTTTGAGCCCGCCGAGTCTCTAAACATCAAGAACATTCTTCACATTTATTTTCGATTGGTGTTCATATATAAATTTGACCTCATATGGCTGGTACATACACTAACAAGACATTGAGCCTTTAAAGCTTACGTATCTTGAGAAATGACCTTCATATCAGTACAAGAGATACTTACTCCCCATTAAACCTAGTGGCATGTAGGGCAGCAGTACAAAAGATAGGCGTACTATTATGACTTTTGCTGAACTCTKCTTACAAGGCGTTGAGACACTGTTAAAGATAAAGAGACACTTGTACTCTTATGGAGTCCATGATTTTACGCGCGCCACGTACAAGTTTTCAGTACGTGCTGTTGCGTAAATTGTTGCGTAAAAAAAATACAGTACTTAATATGGTACAAAGCGTGAATCATTAGAGAGCAGATGTGTAAACAGCGTTATGTGCAATGAAAGCTTTTACATCAGTTGTAGTAATACAGCAGAATTATTCACCTGAATGGAAAGAGATCAGAAGATGTGGAAATTAGATGGGTGCACGCGGATATTCAAAACTGATCAATAGACTAAGCACTGCGTACGATATTCCTTTCCATAGTTAGCGTGATAACTTGATGAATTTTGCTAGTRAATTAAAGGACATAGTGCCGAGTATAACTATAGGAAAGTCAATCCAATATACCACCGCGACGCTGCCCCACCCTACCCCTAACATATGGCAAGTGAACACACGAGAATTCTCCAGTAAAATTACTACATTTTGGTGTGATAACTTTCTCCTTCACTGTGGAAAAGCATGCATGAAGTGTTGGTATCACAGAGAATAATGTCCTCTAGAGTTTCACATTACTGACATTGATCCACTGCGCGTCTCATCATAATCAGACTTGCATAGTACACGCAAACATTTATTGATTATATAACATTATTTGACAAATTATAGCTGCCTACTGCAGGCATAGTTGTATATTATCAAGATTAAACCCATCTCTAGGGAGTTTTTAAAATGTCTTATTGTTCCAGTGTCAGCAACTTTCATCCATTTTAGGAAACGACAAAAGATTTTCGTCTGAACCAGCAGCGATCAGCCATGACCCTAGTGAAATGAAAGAACATGCAATTATCTAAAAGTAGCAGGGGCAACACCTCATTAATCACCCATGTAATCAGATGACAACCTCATCTTCGTGTGTTGTTTTAAGACGAGAATAAAACGATTTCTTCATAGGGTTTGTTGAGCGTAAAGTTGAAGATAAAAACTCGTGATTGTAGACAAGTAGGCGGTGAATAAATCTATATTCATAAAGAGAAACTACTAGCAAAATTCAAGAAATATGTCCATGTAATTAATATTGCTGCAGTGCGCATACCAAAGTCTCTGYAAATGCGCAGTCTTTGAACCGAGTAAATTGTACAATTTGAAGAACAGAGAATGTTTGTAAGTCATGTAGAGCTAATTAATTATCTCCTACTGACAGTAATTAGATAATACTTCCTGTTGTCTCGATAATCGTATTACAACATTACATCAGTGCTATCTCAACATTCCATCTGGTCAACTTGCATGAGCCCACCGTGTATTTGCCAGCGGTCTAACATATCTATATCAAGTGAKTCATTGTTGCGTGTTGTCATTTAGCAAGAAATCAATTAGTGTCGTCGGCGCCCTCTCTAGATGGTCTGTTTAGGCATCCGGGGTCACTGGAACTGACACAGGAAATCCACACACTTCTTTACTAAAGGTTATGAAGTCAGAATGTCCTGGTTGACGCGCCGGACCTTTTATTTGCCGAACACATCAAAGAAARTGAATTATAAAAGGCGGCCTTACATGAGTTCAGCGGATTTGGAGAAAGTCGCATGATATCCAATGTCCATCCAGTCCCATTTTTTAGACGACAAGCTAAATTGAAGACAGGAAGCCCACAAACTGATTTTGATGTCGATGCTATTTTGGCAAATTGTCCATGTTTCGTTACTTTTCGTTACTCTTCGTAGCTTATTTTTCTCCTTTGATTTGTTTTTAAATTCCGCGCGCTTTTATGGTCGAGGTAGACTGAGACAAAAAATATCAGCTGTTTCATTGTCGAGTCATCGCCATAGCAACAGCAGTTCCTGACAAGATGGCGGACGTGGACACTCTCAGCTCCTACATGAGCAAGAATGTCATTCGCGGGACTCCTTCTCCTCTACCTAGACCTTATTTACCAGCTTTGCCACCTAAAAAGACAGTCAAGCCATCTTATTTTAGGTATGTTCAGTTAATAAGTGTCAAAACACGATAATTTCCCGTGTACATATTTGTCATGTCAAACCGCAGTGCGCGACGTTTTTTGTTGACTTTGAATTGACTTTAGTTATGTAACGGAATGTTGTAGATTTTTAGAAGAAGCACCTTTGACTGCTTTGCAAGGAGTTGTAGCAGATGCCAAGGAGCCTCCGTCGGTAAGTTTCTTGGCGTATTGGAGCAAAATGAATGCTTGGTTTCAATTGAATGGATCTCTTTCGATACCCACCTGTTGAGAAACATTTCAGCTGTAGGGTTATGATATTTCATTACGCGATGTGCAAATGAAATCATGTTGTAACAAAACATCCATGAAACTATTCAGGAAAAATACATTTCCTTCAAAATACTCTTTCTTTGGTATAATTTTGGGTAAAACAATTAGTTTTAAAATATCATATTTTGTTCTCATAGCCTCCAAAGTTGCAGAGAAGTCGTAATAGAATCCATGTTGGAAATACTAACAGATGGCGGCTTGCAAATTCACTTGGTAGCGATCTTCTTGGAAGTAATCAAGCCTTAAAAGCAGCAAGCAGTTCATATAATGACACAATTATTGCCCTTATGACAGGTATGATATAACAAATCAAGTCAATAAATCATTTCCAACATTGACTTTTATCACTTTTATTAAAGCTGACAATCCTACAACAACATGTTGCCATGGTGACACGGTAAGTCCAAGGGGGGCCACTAGTAAAGTGCAGGCATCCTCCTTGATTTCACCAAGATTCTTAAAGTCTCAACCTGCATTATCAAGTGTTGTCTGGAGGCAAACCAACCCACATAAGATGTTGAAATCACAGCCATTCACAAGTATTACTACACAGAGAGGACAAAGGTATGATTTGATAATGACAGCAGTGATGAAAACGATGATGTTTGAAATGAATGATGATTACAGTCATGCATGATAACTATGATGACGATGACAATGATGATAAATTAATGAGGTAATGATAATGATAACTATGAGGTGGATCATAAAAATATAACAGTAGCTGTCAGTAGTACTGATGCAAATTTCCTTCTATTAAAATGTTTATTGAAATATGATTATAAATTCTTCAGAGCCAGTGAGCCAGAACAGGATATGCCTACTCCRTCACAGCTAAGACAAATAGAACTGCAGAAAAACTTTTTACCATCAAATATGAGATCACCAAACCCAGTAGAAATGTTCTTACACAGATCTCAAGTGGCAAATGCCTACAAAACACCAGGTACAGTGATATTACTAACTCTTGCAAGAAAGTTGGAAAAGAGAGAAGGGATAATACTCAAGCCTGATGTGGTTTGCCAGCCAGGATCACAACAGTGTCAGGCAGACTACATCGCATGCTTCGCATGTTATTGATGCTACATTGTGTTTGTTGTCTTCAGATGTTATTCTTTATGCCTTGRATACAACATGGGAACTCCACAAACCATTTTTACAGAAATCTGCTCTTCTCAGTGCAATGGTTAGAAGAGCTGACAAAAATGGACTTAAACATATTGCAGAAGAAGACGAGGAGCCTTACTCTGCAAATATGCAAAGTACAAGTATGTCCAGTGACTTGCCGTCATCCAGTCTTAAATGCTACATTTTAGCCTTCTTCACATTAACTATTTCTCTCTCTCTTCCTCTCTACCCTTTTCACAACTGTTGGTTTTCTTGTCTTCCTGATATGACTAAAGGAAATAGCAATAGTATTGCTCATTGTAAAGTCAAAGTTAGAAATTAAATTATGGATGGAACAGCAATATTACAATGCAGTTCAGACCATTATTGACAGGGTTGTCTTGTTTAGATACAAAAGACCTCAATCTTCAAGCATTAAAAACTGCAGCTTCTAAAGATTCAACAGCACACGTCCAATACCATCAACTAATCCCACGGACAGCCAGCTTTATGGACAATGTTCTTACATTAAAGCTCAGGATCAGAGAYCCTCTTATCACCAAACATAGTAAGAATGAGATTTGAATCTTTTTAAGTGATGTGTGATGTGTGACGGCCGTTCTCTTTTTTCTAGGCTTTGCTTGTGCTTTAGCAGCTATGTATGAAACAGAAAATGACATTAAAGTAGAAGAAAGTGATGTTGTTGGTATATTGGCTGCAGCTCATTTCCTGGGAATTGCTTCACTAGAAAGAGTGTAAGTTTTGCAGGAAAAACATTGCATGCATACACTCAGTGAATATAAATCACAAATATATCTTTAGACAATATAGTTATCAATCAAGGATCAATCAATCAGCCATTCACCCATCTTTTTCTTTTGTCTGAAACTAGCTCATAAAAGTGTCTTGTTCATAGATTGAGGCCAGTAATTGTATTTTATTAAATCATTATTTTATTATTAGATGTGCACAGGTAATGTTGAACAGTATTGCATCCTGGTCTGTATGTGCTTTCCATGCAGGTGCTACAAAGGTAAACAAATCTTATTCACACCTTTTAACATTTCAATGTGTAGTTTATCAAAACTGGACAAGACTATAGAATGATGGAAGGTACAGCAGTACATTATAATACCAGTTTCTTGGCTGGAACTATGAGTATATCAATACTTCCAGGCCAAGTAACTAGTATGTACCTGAATATTATGACAAGTCTTACAACAAATTCATTAATTCAATCAAAAGGTATATAATATATAATGTACATTTTGAAGTTGTGCACTCATTCATTAGATTACCATTGTATCCTATTCATCCCAATGCTAATGTTTTTAATCTTCCAATAGTATAACCAAAGAACAGTGGCTGAAACTTGTGAACGATGGCTTGAGATCAACCTTGTACCTCAGGTAAGGAGGCCAGGAACATAGGAGGTGTCGAAATTCTCAAAATCGCAAGAAAAAACTTTTTAATCCACAAGCAAAAAGCTTACATATTCACAAGTTCTTCAAATGAGAAATCCATAAATCCTGTATTAAAAATATCAAGAATCCAAAATTCTGCTCTAAAAGTATGATTTAGTATGATTTGAATTAGCTCATCTGAAAGCCCCCAATGAAAAGTTTCCATGTTATCTCATGATTATAAAGTCATGACTAAGGCAGAGCACTGGATGGAGCTTTATTGAGGGTTTATTTGATGACAGTATCCTGTTTGGAAACATACCGCAAGGAAACATTAACTTCTTTGATATTTTCATAATTACTAAAAGATATGATGTAGATGACTTTACTGCCACTGACAGGGAATTTTTGTGTGAGAGTGTGTCTTGTGTGGCTCTTCTCTCTGGTGATGGTATTACATGAAACTCTTCACCAATCTATTATATCGTGAACCTTTTAATTATAATGATTTCCATTTAATAGTTGGCAGTCCAGATCTACCTCAGCCATCTGCCTCAAGAACTACTGGAAAAGTCCCTCAAATCAACCAGGTTTGTACTGCAAACGTTTTTAATGATTTTGCTATTTAAAAAACGAAATCATTCATGTATTCTACTTATTGTTATTTTTATAGGTTGTTTACCTGTAATGAATACTCATTGTACAAGCTGCTATGCTATTGGATCTTCCTCCAACAACACCAACATCTTCAGGTGTTTATTGCAAGTGTTACTCTTGTTGTTGCAATATATGGAAATGCTATCGACTGTTGTTGTTGCAATATATGGAAATGCTATCGACTGTTGTTGTTGCAATATATGGAAATGCTATCGACTGTTGTTGCTGCTGTTGTTGGTATTGTTGTTGCTCACCCATTCTGAAATGATAACAATGTCTGATATTTTGTAGCTCATGCCTTCTTGGGGAACGGTGGTCACTTGGTTCATGAGGTAAGCAAAACAATTACAAAAGTATCATAACTCCACATCTAACATGTACTTTGTCTATTTCTTTGAAGTTTACCAAAGACAAGTTCGTTTTTAGAGAGAGAAGAGGTAGGCAATGGGGTCCCTTAATCAATGTTGATCAGCTTTGGTAGTAATAGTAGTTTTGCCTTTCTCAGGGTCATGGATATGCTTGCTTGTTTAGATCGATTAGAATGGAAGGAATTACTGACAGTAAGTGAAAACTTTGACTTTGCTTCCTGACGTTGCTTTGTTCCTGTCATCCTTAATTGCCCTCTCTGCTTCCTTCATTTCATGCTATTAATTTGGTGCTTTCTTCCTTTTGGCCATAACATTTTTTTCTTCCCTGGTCTTTCATTTTTCGATTTTTCATTCAATGACCTGACAGCATTCTTGAAACTGTAGGTTCACAGCTTGATGAAGTGCATAAAATGAATGTCATCCCATCGCCATGGTTACTTCGTATATACAGTCAGCACTACCATGCAGTAAGTCTAATGATAGCTGTCAATCACCTATATCATCAATATTCACTGTCTTATTGATTGACTCAGATTGACGGGAATAGCGACCGACTGACTCGACATTTTCTCACATTTATAAGTGTTTTTGCGATTGATAGGCTATTTAATGGAAGAGTTAATATGAATCGATTAATTGACTATTTTGTTTATTATATTTTGCCAGCTTCAAGGTGGAGGAGATATGTCTCTGATGACAAAATTTGAGCAAGGCGCAGTTCGAATTGGTTTCATTATTGAACAAGTACGCGATTCTTACATGTATTGTTAACCCGTTATCAAGACTGAATTAATAGACATGATTGTATTTCTTTGTGTTTCAGCACATTCAGTCCCATAATGAGATTATATCGCTACATGGATTTTACTTTGAAGTTAAAGCAGTCAAGAACGATAATGACAGCTCTGATTATTCTTTCTTTATCCAGGTATTACTGAAATTATCGTTTTTACGATCAATACCGTCGATTTTTCTTGATACCTTTCACTCCTTCTTACTTCTAGTCTTTCTCTTCATGCGACTCATTTTCTTTTTGTAACTAAACCTTTAAGCAAAAATATAACTCTGTTSTAATGTAATTGCGTTTTGCATTTTCTGTTTTGTTTTAGAGACTAAGACCCAATGATCCATCCTTGTCATTCAAGGCCTGCGCAAGACACACCTTTTCTATGAGACAAGATAGAGAGGTAAGTTGGGTTGCAGTAGAATTATATTGCAGTGTAACAAGCAAGATGAGGGTCATTTATCCCCCTTAAGGTTGGAGGGGATGTGGAGTGGTTTCATCTGAGGAGTCGTCATTTACATCCCTGTGCTTACAGGGTTTTCCTTGTTGAACTGTATGATTTCATTTTCGTAGGTTCGATATTGTTTAAGAGTCCAATGGATTTCAAAAGAGATCTACAAAGTATACACGTCAGGTAAAAACAATTCAATCTTARATTACACCTTATATATTGATTTCCACAATATCTGTTCAGCTCTGGGAAGGGTTTTGTCCATAAGCTCTAAAATAAGTGTATTGTCTCTTTCAAAGGCGTTCTCAGTCASATATTTGGGTTTTCTGGCAAGATGAAGAGAAGCGATGTGATCAAAGTAGAAGATGTCACAATGCCCCTTTATGTTACTTTGTTTCTCATGTTTCCACCATCATGACACTGACGTGGGCTTCCTGTGTTGAGTTTTGGTTTAAAATGACTTTCAAATAACTAATGAAACGAAATATCCAAAAGTATGTAAAATATATAAGAGGAATAAAAATTAACGAGTGATTAGGTTGTGGATTAACTGAGCACCTAAAAGCATGCGTACTGTGAGAATCAAAGATAAAGTTTGAGTGTAAATTCATTTGGGCTGCCTGAGTTTTATGCGGGGCAGGGACAACACGCGGCAAGGTCAAGATATAGCAGGGTCGCGGAACTCTGCCTCGTAGAAATGCCGTAAAAAAACGAGTACTTGAGAGYTTGTCGAGCTGCATCCTTCGCAATTCAGCACCACCTTTCCTTCGTCCWTCTTGAACAATTCCAAGAAATCTGCGCTACCAAAATAACTTTTGATTCCCCATCATGCATTGCGCCATAACACTTTCCATGCATAGCAACTTTTAAAGTCAGTGCGTACCCTCGTGACGTCAATTCTCATAATGTATTCAACAATATTTAGAAAAAAGACAGTTTTAAAATTTACTTTAAACAACCAACGTTTACTAGGAGTCGATACGTCTCGAGTTTTTTGTAACGAACATAAAATAGTTCAATAGTATCATGACTTCATCACTGGCTAAAAAATTACTGGCAAACCGAAAGAYAGAAAGGAAAAATTGGGACATCTGTGGATCAAGCAAGAATATTGTATGCTCGTACCATGGTCAAGTTATCATCGCATGGGAGGAAGGCGGACCAAAACTAGTCGACGCAGAATACCTGCCATTCATTACAAGTTCTGCCAAYAACTGTCGAAGAATGGCTACTTGTGAGGAATTGGAGAAATACCAAAACATACCTAAAACAATTGGTACCGGAATTACACTATCTGACCTTCGAAAAGAACTTGGGGCCCTGCAAAAGTTGAAAAATGAAAAGATTTTACAACGAGATCCGGAGGAGGATATTTTGTTGTAACCTTGATCGTTACGCACTTACCGATCAAAAGACAAATGTTTAGTTGTTCCAGATCAGTGTGAAAGATATTAATTTAAATATAGTTTTACATTGGAATTGTAGATACCTGAAATTGTATCGTGTTAGTAAGGACGTTTAAGGTCTTGAAGGTTATAATCCGCGATGTCAACTTGGCTATTAGTAAAATAGCTAYAGAAATAGCCTTCTCATCTATACGGCAAGTGTTTTAAAACTTGAATATTTCTATCAGAAAAGGAGCAAGTTACCTTTGGCAACGGTTTGTAACATCCTTAGCAACGCACATTTGCACAATTTTTCTTACCAGCTACATGTACCATAATTCGGAAATACTGATTTCTTTTTGTAGACCTTTATCTAAATCCGTTGAAATACCTTCTGTTGCAATTTGTTTCAGGTTTGGCCAGATTTTGGGCTAAATTTACTGGACTATAGCGCTTTCTTTGACTTTTGAATTCACGSCAAGACCATTGCGTTGGTTATTAGCCGAAATATGTCCTAAAGACCTGGAAAGAATGTCAAGTTGAGAAATAAAATTGAGGAATYCTTGCTACAGAACAGATAATATAAACAGTAAAAACTGGTACTGAGTGACAATTGCATCCAATAGTATATTTCATCCATAAGCGCACGTCAACTTAAAAAGTCGCCATGACTCGTATGTCAAGCGAAACTACTGGTAACGATATACTTCTTTGAAATCCTGGACAATTAATTGTTACAAGWCCATTGGTCGTCTCCTTTCAGCATAAGGGMGACATCACAAGGTAGTACWGTGAATGATAAAAKCTCGATTTTAATTAAAGCAGTAGTTTGGCATATAAAATAAAAAAAGAGGAATGTGACAKAAATTATAGAGAAAGTCTCAAGGTTGTGGGAAACTATAAAACAWMACCTTTGCTGGGGAGGGGACTGCAAACAAGCAACTAATGCCTGATTATACGACAAAAGGCCAGTCTCTAAGAGACAGAAGTCTATCTAAATCTTTATTTCATTCAGCCTTCCAGCTATAAATTCACAAATAATATTCTAAGATATTAAGAGCTGATTCATTCAAGTCACTATCATCAAACATTTTTGGTAATTGTCAATAAGTCGATCGTGAATCTGTTCACAATCTCTCCAAAATCACTGCTATAAAAAAACATTCATATTTATTGTGACCATGTATTTCTACTTATAGTGTTCTTTCTTTTGATTTCTGCTGTGCAAAGCTGACATTTGTGATTATTATCTATAGCTGACTAYTCGATGACCTAACAATCATATAAAAAAACAGATTCAATTTATCTGCACAGCAATCATTAATAATACCTTTACCAAATMTACAAAAAATAAATAACCAATCAAATAAAAATAGCCTCCTYTYGCAGYGGGAACAAGCCTTGTAACARCTGCTAGAGGAGACTAGTAAAAATAGKATAATCGAAAATATAATAAATTTTTGTTAGTCTGAAAACCATTTACAGCAAGATCTTGCCACGGAGTCACAGATATATTCTCACAAACTCTACATTGAATACTTTATCACACAAAACGTCTACACATTTTCTCTTGCCAAGTAAAACAATCTGTCTTTGTTTCTGAAATTAACATACTCATCTAAAGATGATTACTTTGGYGCATTGCAAACAACATCATGGATTGCGGCTGCAACATAGTCAATATTGCTGGGTGTTAATCCACAAATGTTGATCCTCCCACTGTTCAGAAGATAGATGTGATGTTTGTTTGTTAACATTTCAACTTGTTTTACTGAAATATAATAAAAACATGCTATTATAATACATTATTTATTGAAGATCAACATGACAGCAATTACTTACTGTTCAGCCCTGTGAAGCTAAACATTCCCTTTTGGTCAGCAATGTGGTTCCACGTTCCTGGAGTTCCAAGTTCTTTGAGTTTGGATAACAACAAGTTCCTCATTTCAATGATTCTATCACCCATCGTCTTGACATTCTCTAACCTAAATCAACAGCCAATTAAATTCTTAATCTCTCTTATCAATCAACTAATCAATCAACAAATCAATCCAATTAATAAATCAACACTAGTCTTTACTAAGAAACACAGGTGAATAAACTTCCTGTATAACAAGGATTGCTTTCTTACCATTCCTGAAAGAGCGCAGGATTTTTCAATACTGTAGCAACAATTCTTGCTCCATGATTTGGTGGATTAGAAAACATCGGCCGCACTATTGCTTTTAACTGACTACGTATTCTTTCAGTAGTATTGTTATCAACAGCTACAACACAGAGATTACCAACTCTCTCGTCTGAAATGATAAAATAACAGCTTTAAATTTCTCAAGTTTCATTACAGACAAGAATCAAAGAGTAAATGTAAAGCCAACACTTACTATAAAGACCAAAGTTTTTGGAAAACGACTGTCCAGCAAGCAACTCAAACCCTTGTTTGACAAAGTAACGCACTGCCCATGCATCCTCTTCAACATTGCCGGATGCAAATCCCTGGTAGGCAATATCAAACAGTGGGAAAAGGTGCCTTCTCTGTCAAGGAACAAAGTATAATGTTGAATAACCATGTCAATCAATCAATCAATCAATCAATCATTCTTCATCTGGATGGATTCATTGCTCTGTCTATTGAACGTCAAAACTCTCTACTGTACCTTCATTACTTCAGCAACCTTTTCCCACTGTTCATTGTTCAAGTCATAACCAGTGGGATTATGAGCACATGCATGTAGAAACATGACTGAGCCCTCTGGTGCAGCCTAGTATAAATACAACAACACAAGTCAGCATTCAGGGGTATTACTGTCATAAGTTGTAAGCCCATGCTCAACAAAGACAGAAATCACAGTGAATCTAGCATAGACACTGCTAATTGTACAAATCAGTACAAATCACTAAACACACTGTTTCATATAACATGAAATACTAATGAGTTTGTTGTAAATTACAAACCTCAAAGTCGTCCAAAAGCTGTCCAAATTTGACACATTTATTATCTGCATCATAGTAGTTATATTCACGGATATCAGTATACCCTGACGCTTTGCAGATCTTTATATGGTTACCTTATAATGTAGTAATGATATTATCTGTTACAACAGTGTTTCCCAAAAAATAATGGTTGACTTATCGCTTTACTCACTTCTTTACTCACTTCTTATAAAGTTTGAGCCCTGATTGACAGATGTCCACTCYTTCACTGTAAGACAATAAATTAGTTGACTTACCCCAAGTAGGTTTGGAAATATAAACAGTTTTACTGGGATAGAACTTATACAGGAAATCCAGRGCAAGACGCAAACTGCTGGTTCCTCCAATGCTTTGAATCCCACAGACCTAAAATATAAAATAACAACCTTTCGTTCTTGTTTAACATATGGAAAACTCACCTCCAAAAGGTGGAAATGAAAAAAAGGACTCTTCAGAACAGTACAACTTCTTGTATCTGATAGTTCAAAACTTTGGACTACTCAAACAGGTTTTGCTTTGCATGAAACAGGTTTTAATAATTGCAGCTGCATTAATTAGCTAATCTGAACGCTGATTCAAGCCAGAAAGGAGGAAAAGATGTAAAGAAGTAAAAGATTTCGCAGCAGAAAGACTAGTTTGAAGAAGAAAAACTAATTCTGTAGTCCTGATTTCTTTTCTCCTTTCAGGGATTGTTCAACATTCTACAGGGTGCCCATTAACGTGTATTTACACATTCGACGTACAATTTTTTTGCATTCTTGGTTTATAAAATTGTACATTAAGCAGCAACTAYTGTAGCATGACAAATGAAAACACATTTTTTACCAACGCATTACGGAAAACAAACAAYAGCTGATCAGACCAGAAATGAACAAGACCTGTTCGCTTGTTTTCGATCAAAGATCAGCTCAAAAATACATGCACATTGAGATGACAGCTAGGCTATATTGTACACTACTTTCAATTCATAAAGTATGGAATACGCACTCTATTGTCAGTAATAGCTGGACTGTCGCCCCCAAGAAGGAGTTTACAAGCAGCATCAGTGAAAGCCCTCATTCCATCGATTCCCAGGTATTCGTGATTCAAAGTCTTATCCTGAGCCATTTGTAATTCTACTTTGTCGACTACAGGAAGAACCCACGGCTTTCCCTCATCCGTACGGTAAGCTAAAGGTAAAAACAGAGGTTCATAGTGCACAAAAAGTACTCAAAATWATTAGGGGATTTCACAATTTTCACACTGGCGACGTGAATCAGTGAAGTGCCACATCATACACCTTTTCCTACCTCCAATTCCCATGTTGACTTTATTAGGACTAGTATCATTTAGAAAACGAGCATTTACTTCAAAAACATGGTCGGTAGGTACTTGGGGGACATCTTTGAAAAGGTTAGAAAAAGCCATTTCTGATTCTTTCAACCCTGATCCAGTTGACTGCGTCCTTTGACGTTGACGTTTTAGTCTAATCCGACACGATCACGAGCTTTGATCGAGGAGAAATCCGAAGCTTTTACGAAGGATCACGAATGGATCTCGAAGATAGACGACGTACATTCTGCGCAAAAACCTTGAGCAAAGTAGTAAGAGATTGCCATTATATGAAAGCACGACGATTTA